TGTTTTCAGGTTATGCTAGGCCTGTTGTCAATAGAATAGATGTTGACAACAAGTTCAGTCTCAGACTGTTCTGGCCATCAACGGTTAGCACGTAAGTTACTAATTTGTTGAATATTATGTTAACGATTTTGATGACTTCTTGAGTTAGAAGCCTATTAATTTATTTAGAGTTTTAGACTATGTTTAAATGAACTTGAACTTAGTTAATTATAGTTAAAACGTCTGTGAACTGTGATTTATAGTTTCAGCGACAACCATAGTTAATAATTTTAGTAGTAGTAAAGATTTTTAAGCTCTATTCAGTATTTTAATGAATATTTATAATCATTATGATTTACTGAAAATACTCAGATTATTGTGAATGTTTTATCATTCAAGATAATTCTATCATTAATTATACATTTATACTGTTTAAACTTTTCATAAAAATAAAATACATATTTTCCTCTTTATATTACATATACCAATCTAGTAAAAATTTAAAATGAAAAAAATTAAAAAGGAAAGAATTGAACAGAAAGAAACAAGAATATGGGCCGACCAACGGCTCAAACTATAGTGGGTTTGGTCAGACCCACCAAAGTCCCATGAGGGACGTGGGCCTGGTTGGGTTAACCCTAAACCCAGAAACAAAATCCTTAACCCGACCCGTTGAGATCAATCCGGATCCTGGTCGAACGGGCTGATTCATGGGTCAGGCCTGACTCGGACTGGCCCAGCTCACCTCCATCCCACTTAGGTCACCTCACACGTGTCTCAAAGAAATTTGAATGTAGACACGCCCAACCACACATACCATCATCAATAGTTCCTCAAACCCTTCTTTCTCTTTTCTCAAGCCCAAGTTCCCCTTATCCATCATCATCATCATCCTCCTCCCGTTTCACTTCTCTTCTTCAGGAGTTAGAATCAGAAAAGGGTCATGAAGGGTGTGGGTTAAAGGTGGATCATCCTGGGAGAGGGAAAAAGGAGCAACCTTTACATGTGGTGTGGGAGCAAAGCAGAGGACATGTTTTAACAAAGTTTTGCTCTTTTTAATTTGAGGGTAGGATCTCCTAATGTTGATGTAATTAGGGAGAGATTATCAAGGAAATTGAAAGAGGTGGATTGGAATTAGACGAAGATAGTCTCGGTTTGGGTAAAGGGATTTTTTTAGTTCAATTCCCTTTCATCTTGCATATTGAGCTTGCGATGAAGAAAGGGTTTGTCGACTTGACTTTAGGTCATTTGTTAGTGCAAGTCACCCTTGATTATGTAGTCATAAGGAAAGGTAGTCCCCAGAGCCTGTGGTAAATGTTTTTCTTCTCCTGCTTTAGATAGCCAATAATGGGGTTGACTTCATTAATAAAGAAAGACCCTAGTGTGAGTGCTCGTGGTGATCCTAAGAAAACTAATATCAACAACGAGGTTGGGGATCAATTTACAATGAGGTATGTGATCAACTTTCAAAATAAGGAGGGACATAAGGAGGCCTATTGGTATAGGCTCTGGATCTCCAATCCCCAAAGAGGCGTCTTTTGAAGCTGCTTCCAATCTCTCTGGCCCTCTTGGCTTTGAAAAATTGAGGATGCCGAAGAAGGAAAAATCTGTGGCAAAGGGGCGCATAATTTCGAAACCATTCTTTCGTAGCTTCTCGTTGATAAAGAATGACTTCTTCTCTAGTTTCTACAAAAGGTCAGAATTCCTCTCACACCTCTTTGCCTATTAGTAATTTAAGCAACAATGAGCTTGTCATCATTTCTTCAAACTATGGCGTCAAAGAACCCTATCTAATAATGATATTAACAAGCCAGGATAGTTGGAAATTGAAAGAGCTGCTATTAGCTCTTAATCACTCTATTGTGTCCTAGCTGTAGTAATGCTGATTTCATTAGTACTTACAAATATTGGTTCATGGAACACTAGAGGTCTAAGTGACTCCAGTACTACAAGAATGATTAAAGATGTTATTGTTTTATCTGGCATTGACATATGTCATGCCTCGTGTCCCAAATAAGGATATGAACACGCGACTCGGTCGAATGTGTATACATGAGAACTAGATCAGAGTGGTCCCCGTGCACATTCCAAAGCCTTTAGCTAGCTAATCCACTGAATAGTAAGGGAAAAAACAGTAGATATGCAACAAAGGTTGTCAGATGACTAATAAAGCCAACGTAAAGTCAAATTACAGCTAAGCTATGAAAACTATTCTAAAAAATGTCAATGTGAGACTCAACTAATATACACGTATAGAGAGGCAATGTTGTAATGTAGACATTCACCGACTAATTGGAAGTGTTTTCAAAGGCGCACGCCTTACGATGCTGGGCGGTGGCAAAGCGCCCCACATTTGATGTAACAGTGTCTTTTGCGCTTCGCGTACATCCTTACTTTGTGCAGGGTGCACGTAGATTGCACCCTGTAGGCCTTGATTGTGATTTTATATGTCGTAGCCTATACGTCCTCCAAACTCCATTAACCTCCAAATATGAACATCTCCACTACCTCCGATCTTCAGCAAAACCTCATCGACCACCACTTAAATGAAGAAAGAAAAAAAATGTCCAGAAACTGTTTAGGCGCCCGTCTAGGCGACTAAGCGTTGGGCGTCAAGTCCGACGCCTAGAAGCGTCCAGCGTTTAATGTAACATTGACTAGAGAGAAAAAGAATGAAATCAGATAACGAGAGGGTATGTCCTGAAGGATATATTCACAAGGACCATATACAGATAGCAAATGAAGAGAGAGAGACCGACCAAACGATGGAAAGAGATGCACGTGCCCAATATGACGAAGACAACATAAACTGCTACAAGGGAAAAAAGTCATTAAAATAGGAAAGTATTCCTGGAACTAAGCATGTAAAACAACACATCAAAAGGTGGAATCAATGTCACATACCACTTACTCGATCCACTCAAGTTCCACATTACGTGATATCATCTTAAATTAGAAAGTCCTTCGGTAGCCTATGTGCCACATAAGGGATCCGTTCTTTTATGGCACTACCAATCCTTACATGATTCACAATAAGAAAAATATCCAACAACCAAGTTCTTCACATAGCTCCTAAGGCATAGACCACTAAATTAAATTCATCATATTACTTTTTATTAGTTTTGTTGTACCTAAAATCTTATCCACTAGTCCCAATAATCTACCAGCATGTAGAACATCTTTTCATGATATCTGATACCCATATAGATGATGATATCGCTCGATGTTCATTTAGGATACCACCCTCTATGGCTACGAGATCAAATATGATAATAATATTGAATCATTAATCTAAACACGTCCTTCATATAGCTTGTGTGAGGAATTCCAAACGAAATCCAAGTACCACGAGTTGATACATAGGATATAGGACAAACGAGTACAAACAAAAGAGGAATCTCAAATGGATATCGAACATCCCTTGACAAGCATACTAACTAGTAATACCCCAGTCAGGGATCAAGACAAGGTATATTAGGTTTCAACATCGTGCATGAGTGAGTCTATGAACCATGGTCACATAACATGTCCGTAACCCACATATAAGGAAACCGTTCTTCATGTACAACATAAATAGAGACAACCGCCTAAATTATCTAAGTCATGTGATACAGACTATGCAGACACATTCCTAACATAATAACTAAGATACGAAAGCATATAAAACATGCATAGTTGTTTTAGAAATCAAAATCATATGCTTGTCAGAAAACTAGTTTTTTGACTTCCCGAGAAAACCCCAAAACCATGTCAACAATCTACAAGCAAATCCCTCCAGATGTAGGTAATCTCCACCTGTAGGAAGCATATGAAGAAGAAAGAAGTGGAATTTGAAGTCAGAAACTCAAATTATGCGATAATGTAGAAAACCCCAATATATCTATTGGCAGTACAGTCTCTGGATGAATTCTGATACTCAAGCCCCGTGTCCGAGGGCTAAGCCGTCAGCGGACAACTAACAGTTTAACCATGAGACTCAGTCCCGCACAGATAACCGTCGGTGGATCATACTCCATTCGTAGATGGGTTAACCTAGCATATTTAGTCTTGAGGCCATTTGTGCAATTTCTATCTATCACTACTCAATCTTTCATCATTCTAAGGGTTATCCATTTCGTAAAAACATATTAGGGTGTATTTGCAACAAGTTTGAGATCAGACCATCAAGAGTCCATCAAGAAAGACCACATCTTCGATTTTATCCAAAAGTATAAACTTTTGAAGAAACTAGCTAAACAAATATGGATTAAAACATTCGTTAACAAAACACACATGTAATTAAGCATGTCCTAATTAAGAGACCTTAGCAAGAGTGCAAAAGATGCTTAGCGAGGGAGTATAGAAGATGCTTGCCGTGAGAGAAATCAATTGAAATCCAAGCTTTTCCGATCGAGACTCGAGCAAGGTGACATATTGATTCTGGAATGGAGTGATCTCAGGGATGAACTTTGATGGAATATGAAGTACATGGAGTACTTGACATGACTTCAATTAGACAATTATGTATTCTTTCCAGATCTTAGATATCTCTGAAAGCGCTCATCCAAAAGACACATCCATATAAGGTGGACAAGGAAAACGGTTTTTTACACCAATTTTATGGATCCATTTTGTTTTCATCTTTAAATGTTATCTGATAACATAGTATTCTCTAATAATTGTTAGCCATAATGCAGGTTTCACAACGCTATTACTGTCAAACATGCGAAGTTGTCTTGATGGAAATAAAGAGGAGCATTTTAGAAGAGGGCACGTCGTTGATATTATGCAGCAAGAGGTAAAGTAAAACAAAAAGGGAAAACAGGGAAATAGAAAGCAAACAAATTTCAACAAGGAAAAAGGCACACCACTTATAGTAAGATTTATACAACTAGGCAATGAGAAATTAGTAGTGAACGTAGATGCTGACATCAAAATAATTGAAGAACTAAAAAAATAATAAGTTCAAAATTTGTGGAGCTGGGGCCGCGAGCAAGATGAACAATCGCTTCATAGAAGCTAGATCAATTTTTTTAGGGGTGATGACAGATAGCTCACTGGTTGCTGAGTGTATTGCGATTCTTGAAGGTCTGCTCATCGCTGAAGCAGAAAAGAAGCGAATAGCACTGAGGGTTACTAAAAAACTCGAGAAAGTAGTGGTGTGGTCAGACTCATCGGAGGCAGTTGATCTAGTAAACAACAGAACATGACAGCTGCCAGCAGAGCTAGTAGGTATAATTCAAGCTTGTCAAGATGTACTGGATAGTAATCCTGAATTCTCAATGGAGTTTGTTTATAGAGAAGGGAATGTAATTGCTGACATTTTGGCTATAATAGCGCTAAGATTTCGTTTTAGCCAAAAACGGGTGGGCTTTCCACCTGAGTGCATACAACATGCTCTTGAATTAGATGAAGCATCGATTGGATATTAGGTCCTAATAAAAGATTTAAATTCAATCAATCTTACTGATCTGAATTGGATATTGAAAGTCAAAAAACATGAAGGAATACTCGAAAGCAAATAAAAAAGGTTTAAAGCTTGCACCAAGTAGCATAAAATGAAACAACAACATGACAGTTTACAGGTACATTACAATGTAATGGTGGTTATACATTTCAACTACTGCACAGTGTGTCGAATATGTCAGTTAGCTCTATTCGTAGAGTCCAACATAAGCAGTTTCTTGAACATAGAATGAGCATCCTCAACAAACAAGCTAGCCTCCAACATTTCAATATGACGCTAAATCTGCAGACACAGAAGATAACATCAACGAAAGGTGAGAAAGTAAAGCAACTTAGATTAAGAAATGAAGATTTAAAATAAAAAGGAAACATAATCATAAACTACAAGAAAAGATTTTACTCAACCATGAAATATGGCTATCATTTATACCAATCCAAACATTTTAGAGGAAATTACACAGCAAAGCTGCTTGAGAGCTTTACACGGTTGATTCTCAAATTCAATACTCATAGCTAGATACATAAAGATTAATACACATTCTATCGAAAATACCAATCCAGTAAACAGTAACTTCATTCAAAGTTATTAACGGTATACTGTAAATAACAAGTTAGATAAGGATAGACTCACTTGAAATGGTTATGCGGAAAAAAATGTTATAGCTCTCGTGGGCTGTTTACTTCTTTCTTACTCTTCCAATCGAAGCTTCATCTAATTCAAAAGCATGTTGTATGCACTCAGGTAGAAAGTCCACCCATTTTTGGTTAAAACGAAATCTTACTACTATTGTAGCCAAATTGTCAGTAAGTCATTCCCTTATCTATAAACAAACTCCACTGGGAATTCGGGATTACTATCCAATACATCTCGACAAGCTTGAATTATATCTACTAGCTCTGCCGGCAGCTGTCGCGTTCTGTTGTTTACTAGGTCAACTGCCTCCGATGAGTCTGACCTCACCACTGCTTTCTCGAGTTTTTTAGTAACCCTCAGTGGTATTCGCTTCTTTTCTGCTTCAACCATGAGAAAACCTTCAAGAATCGCAATACACTCAACAAACAGTGAGCTATCTGTCATCACCCCAAAAAGATTGATCTGGCTTCTATGAAGCGATTGTTCATCATGCTCACGGCCCCAACTCCACCAATTTTGAACTTATTATTTTTTGGTTCTTCAATTATTTTGATGCCAGCATCTACGTTCACTACCAATTCCTCATCGCCTAGTTGTATAAATCTTACTATAAGTGATGTGCCTTTTTCCTTGTTGAAATTTGTTTGCTTTCTATTTTCCTGTTTTTCCTTTTTGTTTTCCTTTACCTATTGCCGCATAATATCAACGACGTGCCCTTTTTTAAAATGCTCCTCTTTATTTCCATCAAGGAAGACAACTTTGCATGTTTGGCAGTAATGACGTTGTGAAACCTGCATTATGGCTAACAATTAGCAAAGAATACTATGTTATCAGATAACATATCTAAAGATGAAAACAAAAGGGCTCCATATAATTGGTGTAAATAACCTTTTTTCTTGTCCACCTTCTAACCCAAATCCTAAAGGGAACCCCCTCTCTAACCCAAATCCTCTCCTTCGTCGGCCTCCGCCACTCTCCTCCGCCCCTCGTCGTATCCGACCTTCAAACCCCTTCCCGTCGACGAGCTCGTGCCACCGCCGCGGCTCTCCGATCATCCCTTCCCCAAGCTCATGGTACGCGAAAGATCTGATCTTTATCGAAATTGATGAGATTTAGGGTTCATGATCTTGAATTGTCTGGACCGTTGTAGATTGTGCTTGATTTGGACGAGACCTTGGTTTGTGCGTATGAGACCTCTTGCCTCCCTGAGATTGTGAAGAGCCATGCGATTAAGGCTGAGATCAAGTGCTTCGAGCTAGAGTGCTTCTCGGTGGAGAAGGATGCTGAGGGGAAACCTTGGGTTAGTCACGTGACCGTGTTCGAGCGGCCGGGGTTGAGGGAGTTCTTGAAGAAGATCAGCGAGTGTGCTGATCTTGTTCTCTTTACTGCTGGCCTTGAAGGTTTGAAATTTTTTGACGCGGTTACTTGTTTGATTGTTTTTTTCTTATGGTTAAATGTCTGTTTTCAGGTTATGCTAGGCCTGTTGTCGATAGAATAGATGTTGACAACAAGTTCAGTCTCAGGCTGTACCGGCCATCACCGGTTAGCACGTAAGTTACTAATTTGTTGAATATTATGTTAACGATTTTGATGACTTCTTGAGTTAGAAGCCTATTAATTTATTCAGACTTTGTTTAAATGAACTTGAACTTAGTTAATTATAGTTAAAAAGTCTGTGAACTATGATTTATAGTTTCAGCGACAACAAGAGTTAATAATTTTAGTAGTAGTAAAGATTTTTAAGCTCTATTCAGTATTTTAATGAATATTTATAATCATTATGATTTACTGAAAATACTCAGATTATTGTGAATCTTTTATCATTTGAGATAATTCTATCATTAATTATACATTTATACTGTTTAAACTTTTCATAAAAATAAAATACATATTTTCCTCTTTATACTATATATACTAATCTAGTAAAAAATTTAAAATGAAAAAAATTGAAAAGACAAGAATTGAACAGAAAGAAACAAGAATATGGGCCGACCAACGACTCGAACTATAGTGGGTTTGGTAAGACCCGACCAGGTCCCATGCGGGCTGTGGGCCTGGTTGGGTTAACCCCAAACCCAGAAACAAAATCCTTAACCCGGCCCGTTGAGATCAGCCCGGATCCGGGTCTGAACTGGCTCGCCCCAAAATCGAATGGGCTGATTCATGGGTCAGGCCTGACCCGGACTGCCCCATCTCACCTCCATCCCACTTAGGTCACCTCACACGTGTCTCAAAGAATTTTGGATGTAGACACGCCCAGCCACACATACCATCATCAACAGTTCCTCAAACCCTTCTCTCTTTTCTCAAGCCCAAGTTCCCCTTATCCATCATCATCCTCCTCCTGTTTTCACTTCTCTTCTTCAGGAGTTAGAATCAGAAAAGGGTCATGAAGGGTGTGGGTTAAAGGTGGATCATCCTGGGAGAGAGAAAATGGAGCAACCTTTACATGTGGTGTGGGAGCAAAGCAGAGGGCGTGCACTAACTAATAGGAGGGTATAACTGTATATATGTCACATACATCATAACCTGAAGGAAGAAGTGGGAAAAAAAGGAATCTAGAGGTCATCATGCGAGCGACCCACAACTACATAGAAAAAGAATGAAAGCAGATAACGAGAGGGTATGTCCTGAAGGATATATTCACAAGGACGAAATACAAATAGCAAATGAAGAGAGAGACAGACCAAACGATGCAAAGAGATGCTTGTGCCCAATATGGCGAAGACAGCATAAACCACTACAAGGGAAAAAAGTCATTAAAATAGGAAAGTTAGTATTCCTGGAGCTAATCATGCAAAACATCACATCAGAAGGTAGAATCAATGTCACATACCACTTACTCGATCCACTCTCAAGTTCCACATTACGTGATATCATCTTAATTAGAAAGTCATTTGGTAGCATATGTGCCACACAAGGGATGCGTTCTTTTATGGCACTACCAAACCTTACATGATTCATAATAAGAAAAAAATCAAACACAACCAAGTACTTCACATAGCTCCCAAGGCATAGACCCCTGAATTAAATTCATCAGATTACTTTTTATTAGTTTTGTTGTACATGAAATCTTATCCACTAGTCCCATGGATCTACCCGCATGGAGAACATCCTTTCATGATATCTGATACCCGTATAGATGATATCGCTCAATGTTCTTTTAGGATACCACCTTCTATGGCTACGAGATCAAATATGATAATATCTTGAGTCATTAATCTAAACAAGTTGTCCTTCATATAGCTTGTGTGAGGAATTCCAAACGAAATCCAAGTACCACGAGTTGATACATAGGATATAGGACAAACGAGTACAAACAAAAGAGGAATCTCAAATGGATATCGAACATCCCTTGACAAGCATACTAACTAGTAATACCCCAGTCAGGGATCAAGACAAGGTATATTAGGTTTCAACATCGTGCATGAGTGAGTCTATGAACCATGGTCACATAACATGTCCGTAACCCACATATAAGGAAACCGTTCTTCATGTACAACATAAATAGAGACAACCGCCTAAATATCTAAGTCATGTGATACAGACTATGCAGACACATTCCTAACATAATAACTAAGATACGAAAGCATATAAAACATGCATAGTCGTTTTAGAAATCAAAATCACATGCTTGTCAGAAAACTAGTTTTTTGACTTCCCGAGAAAACCCCAAAACCATGTCAACAATCTACAAGCAAATCCCTCCAGATGTAGGTAATCTCCACCTGTAGGAAGCATATGAAGAAGAAAGAAGTGGAATTTGAAGTTAGAAACTCAAATTATGCGATAATGTAGAAAACCCCAATATATTTATTGGCAGTACAGTCTCTGGATGAATTCTGATACTCAAGCCCCGTGTCCGAGGGCTAAGCCGTCAGCGGACAACTAACAGTTTAACCATGAGACTCAGCCCCGCACAGATAACCGTTGGTGGATCATACTCCATTCGTAGATAGGTTAACCTAGCATATTTAGTCTTGAGGCCATTTGTGCAATTTCTATCTATCACTACTCAATCTTTCATCATTCTAAGGGTTATCCATTTCGTAAAAACATATTAGGGTGTATTTGCAACAAGTTTGAGATCAGACCATCAAGAGTCCATCAAGAAAGACCACATCTTCGATTTTATCCAAAAGTATAAACTTTTGAAGAAACTAGCTAAACAAATATGGATTAAAACATTCGTTAACAAAACACACATGTAATTAAGCATGTCCTAATTAAGAGACCTTAGCAAGAGTGCAGAAGATGCTTAGCGAGGGAGTATAGAAGATGCTTGCCGTAAGAGAAATCAATTGAAATCCAAGCTTTTCCGATCGAGACTCGAGCAAGGTGACATATTGATTCTGGAATGGAGTGATCTCAGGGATGAACTTTGATGGAATTTGAAGTACATGGAGTACTTGACATGACTTCAATTAGACAATTATGTATTCTTTCCAGATCTTAGATATCTCTAAAAGCGCTCATCCAAAAGACACATCCATATAAGGTGGACAAGGAAAACGGTTTTTTACACCAATTTTATGGATCCATTTTGTTTTCATCTTTAAATGTTATCTGATAACATAGTATTCTCTAATAATTGTTAGCCATAATGCAGGTTTCACAATGATATTACTGCCAAACATGCGAAGTTGTCTTGATGGAAATAAAGAGGAGCATTTTAGAAGAGGGCACGTCGTTGATATTATGCAGCAAGAGGTAAAGTAAAACAAAAAGGGAAAACAGGGAAATAGAAAGCAAACAAATTTCAACAAGGAAAAAGGCACACCACTTATAGTAAGATTTATACAACTAGGCAATGAGAAATTAGTAGTGAACGTAGATGCTGACATCAAAATAATTGAAGAACCAAAAAAATAATAAGTTCAAAATTTGTGGAGTTGGGGCCGCGAGCAAGATGAACAATCGCTTCATAGAAGCTAGATCAATTTTTTTAGGGGTGATGACAGATAGCTCACTGGTTGCTGAGTGTATTGCGATTCTTGAAGGTCTGCTCATCGCTGAAGCAGTAAAGAAGCGAATAACACTGAGGGTTACTAAAAAACTCGAGAAAGTAGTAGTGTGGTCAGACTCATCGGAGGCAGTTGATCTAGTAAACAACAGAACATGACAGCTGCCAGCAGTGCTAGTAGGTATAATTCAAGCTTGTCAAGATGTACTGGATAGTAATCCTGAATTCTCAATGGAGTTTGTTTATAGAGAAAATAATGTAATTGCTGACATTTTGGCTATAATAGCGCTAAGATTTCGTTTTAGCCAAAAACGGGTGGGCTTTCCACCTGAGTGCATACAACATGCTCTTGAATTAGATGAAGCATCGATTGGCTATTAGGTCCTAATAAAAGATTTAAATTCAATCAATTTTACTGATCTGAATTGGATATTGAAAGTCAAAAAACATGAAGGAATACTCGAAAGCAAATAAAAAAGGTTTAAAGCTTGCACCAAGTTGCATAAAATGAAACAACAGCATGACAGTTTACAGGTACATTACAATGTAATGGTGGTTATACATTTCAACTACTGCACAGTGTGTCGAATATGTCAGTTAGCTCTATTCGTAGAGTCCAACATAAGCAGTTTCTTGAACATAGAATGAGCATCCTCAACAAACAAGCTAGCCTCCAACATTTCAATATGACGCTAAATCTGCAGACACAGAAGATAACATCAACGAAAGGTGAGAAAGTAAAGCAACTTAGATTAAGAAATGAAGATTTAAAATAAAACGGAAACATAATCATAAACTACAAGAAAAGATTTTACTCAACCATGAAATATGGCTATCATTTATACCAATCCAAACATTTTAGAGGAAATTACACAGCAAAGCTGCTTGAGAGCTTTACACGGTTGATTCTCAAATTCAATACTCATAGCTAGATACATAAAGATTAATACACATTCTATCGAAAATACCAATCCAGTAAACAGTAACTTCATTCAAAGTTATTAACTGTATACTGTAAATAACAAGTTAGATAAGGATAGACTCACATGAAATGGTTATGCGGAAAAAAATGTTATAGCTCTCGTGGGCTGTTTACTTCTTTCTTACTCTTCCAATCGATGCTTCATCTAATTCAAGAGCATGTTGTATGCACTCATGTAGAAAGTCCACCCATTTTTGGTTAAAACGAAATCTTACTACTATTGTAGCCAAATTGTCAGTAAGTCATTCCCTTATCTATAAACAAACTCCACTGGGAATTCGGGATTACTATCCAATACATCTCGACAAGCTTGAATTATATCTACTAGCTCTGCCGGCAGCTGTCGCGTTCTGTTGTTTACTAGGTCAACTGCCTCCGATGAGTCTGACCTCACCACTGCTTTCTCGAGTTTTTTAGTAACCCTCAGTGGTATTCGCTTCTTTTCTGCTTCAACCATGAGAAAACCTTCAAGAATCGCAATACACTCAACAAACAGTGAGCTATCTGTCATCACCCCAAAAAGATTGATCTGGCTTCTATGAAGCGATTGTTCATCATGCTCACGGCCCCAACTCCACCAATTTTGAACTTATTATTTTTTGGTTCTTCAATTATTTTGATGCCAGCATCTACGTTCACTACCAATTCCTCATCGCCTAGTTGTATAAATCTTACTATAAGTGATGTGCCTTTTTCCTTGTTGAAATTTGTTTGCTTTCTATTTTCCTGTTTTTCCTTTTTGTTTTCCTTTACCTATTGCCGCATAATATCAACGACGTGCCCTTTTTTAAAATGCTCCTCTTTATTTCCATCAAGGAAGACAACTTTGCATGTTTGGCAGTAATGACGTTGTGAAACCTGCATTATGGCTAACAATTAGCAAAGAATACTATGTTATCAGATAACATATCTAAAGATGAAAACAAAAGGGCTCCATATAATTGGTGTAAATAACCTTTTTTCTTGTCCACCTTCTAACCCAAATCCTAAAGGGAACCCCCTCTCTAACCCAAATCCTCTCCTTCGTCGGCCTCCGCCACTCTCCTCCGCCCCTCGTCGTATCCGACCTTCAAACCCCTTCCCGTCGACGAGCTCGTGCCACCGCCGCGGCTCTCCGATCATCCCTTCCCCAAGCTCATGGTACGCGAAAGATCTGATCTTTATCGAAATTGATGAGATTTAGGGTTCATGATCTTGAATTGTCTGGACCGTTGTAGATTGTGCTTGATTTGGACGAGACCTTGGTTTGTGCGTATGAGACCTCTTGCCTCCCTGAGATTGTGAAGAGCCATGCGATTAAGGCTGAGATCAAGTGCTTCGAGCTAGAGTGCTTCTCGGTGGAGAAGGATGCTGAGGGGAAACCTTGGGTTAGTCACGTGACCGTGTTCGAGCGGCCGGGGTTGAGGGAGTTCTTGAAGAAGATCAGCGAGTGTGCTGATCTTGTTCTCTTTACTGCTGGCCTTGAAGGTTTGAAATTTTTTGACGCGGTTACTTGTTTGATTGTTTTTTTCTTATGGTTAAATGTCTGTTTTCAGGTTATGCTAGGCCTGTTGTCGATAGAATAGATGTTGACAACAAGTTCAGTCTCAGGCTGTACCGGCCATCACCGGTTAGCACGTAAGTTACTAATTTGTTGAATATTATGTTAACGATTTTGATGACTTCTTGAGTTAGAAGCCTATTAATTTATTCAGACTTTGTTTAAATGAACTTGAACTTAGTTAATTATAGTTAAAAAGTCTGTGAACTATGATTTATAGTTTCAGCGACAACAAGAGTTAATAATTTTAGTAGTAGTAAAGATTTTTAAGCTCTATTCAGTATTTTAATGAATATTTATAATCATTATGATTTACTGAAAATACTCAGATTATTGTGAATCTTTTATCATTTGAGATAATTCTATCATTAATTATACATTTATACTGTTTAAACTTTTCATAAAAATAAAATACATATTTTCCTCTTTATACTATATATACTAATCTAGTAAAAAATTTAAAATGAAAAAAATTGAAAAGACAAGAATTGAACAGAAAGAAACAAGAATATGGGCCGACCAACGACTCGAACTATAGTGGGTTTGGTAAGACCCGACCAGGTCCCATGCGGGCTGTGGGCCTGGTTGGGTTAACCCCAAACCCAGAAACAAAATCCTTAACCCGGCCCGTTGAGATCAGCCCGGATCCGGGTCTGAACTGGCTCGCCCCAAAATCGAATGGGCTGATTCATGGGTCAGGCCTGACCCGGACTGCCCCATCTCACCTCCATCCCACTTAGGTCACCTCACACGTGTCTCAAAGAATTTTGGATGTAGACACGCCCAGCCACACATACCATCATCAACAGTTCCTCAAACCCTTCTCTCTTTTCTCAAGCCCAAGTTCCCCTTATCCATCATCATCCTCCTCCTGTTTTCACTTCTCTTCTTCAGGAGTTAGAATCAGAAAAGGGTCATGAAGGGTGTGGGTTAAAGGTGGATCATCCTGGGAGAGAGAAAATGGAGCAACCTTTACATGTGGTGTGGGAGCAAAGCAGAGGGCGTGCACTAACTAATAGGAGGGTATAACTGTATATATGTCACATACATCATAACCTGAAGGAAGAAGTGGGAAAAAAAGGAATCTAGAGGTCATCATGCGAGCGACCCACAACTACATAGAAAAAGAATGAAAGCAGATAACGAGAGGGTATGTCCTGAAGGATATATTCACAAGGACGAAATACAAATAGCAAATGAAGAGAGAGACAGACCAAACGATGCAAAGAGATGCTTGTGCCCAATATGGCGAAGACAGCATAAACCACTACAAGGGAAAAAAGTCATTAAAATAGGAAAGTTAGTATTCCTGGAGCTAATCATGCAAAACATCACATCAGAAGGTAGAATCAATGTCACATACCACTTACTCGATCCACTCTCAAGTTCCACATTACGTGATATCATCTTAATTAGAAAGTCATTTGGTAGCATATGTGCCACACAAGGGATGCGTTCTTTTATGGCACTACCAAACCTTACATGATTCATAATAAGAAAAAAATCAAACACAACCAAGTACTTCACATAGCTCCCAAGGCATAGACCCCTGAATTAAATTCATCAGATTACTTTTTATTAGTTTTGTTGTACATGAAATCTTATCCACTAGTCCCATGGATCTACCCGCATGGAGAACATCCTTTCATGATATCTGATACCTGTATAGATGATATCGCTCAATGTTCTTTTAGGATACCACCTTCTATGGCTACGAGATCAAATATGATAATAATATTGAATCATTAATCTAAACACGTCCTTCATATAGCTTGTGTGAGGAATTCCAAACGAAATCCAAGTACCACGAGTTGATACATAGGATATAGGACAAACGAGTACAAACAAAAGAGGAATCTCAAATGGATATCGAACATCCCTTGACAAGCATACTAACTAGTAATACCCCAGTCAGGGATCAAGACAAGGTATATTAGGTTTCAACATCGTGCATGAGTGAGTCTATGAACCATGGTCACATAACATGTCCGTAACCCACATATAAGGAAACCGTTCTTCATGTACAACATAAATAGAGACAACCGCCTAAATTATCTAAGTCATGTGATACAGACTATGCAGACACATTCCTAACATAATAACTAAGATACGAAAGCATATAAAACATGCATAGTCGTTTTAGAAATCAAAATCATATGCTTGTCAGAAAACTAGTTTTTTGACTTCCCGAGAAAACCCCAAAACCATGTCAACAATCTACAAGCAAATCCCTCCAGATGTAGGTAATCTCCACCTGTAGGAAGCATATGAAGAAGAAAGAAGTGGAATTTGAAGTTAGAAACTCAAATTATGCGATAATGTAGAAAACCCCAATATATTTATTGGCAGTACAGTCTCTGGATGAATTCTGATACTCAAGCCCCGTGTCCGAGGGCTAAGCCGTCAACGGACAACTAACAGTTTAACCATGAGACTCAGTCCCGCACAGATAACCGTCGGTGGATCATACTCCATTCGTAGATGGGTTAACCTAGCATATTTAGTCTTGAGGCCATTTGTGCAATTTCTATCTATCACTACTCAATCTTTCATCATTCTAAGGGTTATCCATTTCGTAAAAACATATTAGGGTGTATTTGCAACAAGTTTGAGATCAGACCATCAAGAGTCCATCAAGAAAGACCACATCTTCGATTTTATCCAAAAGTATAAACTTTTGAAGAAACTAGCTAAACAAATATGGATTAAAACATTCGTTAACAAAACACACATGTAATTAAGCATGTCCTAATTAAGAGACCTTAGCAAGAGTGCAAAAGATGCTTAGCGAGGGAGTATAGAAGATGCTTGCCGTGAGAGAAATCAATTGAAATCCAAGCTTTTCCGATCGAGACTCGAGCAAGGTGACATATTGATTCTGGAATGGAGTGATCTCAGGGATGAACTTTGATGGAATATGAAGTACATGGAGTACTTGACATGACTTCAATTAGACAATTATGTATTCTTTCCAGATCTTAGATATCTCTAAAAGCGCTCATCCAAAAGACACATCCATATAAGGTGGACAAGGAAAACGGTTTTTTACACCAATTTTATGGATCCATTTTGTTTTCATCTTTAAATGTTATCTGATAACATAGTATTCTCTAATAATTGTTAGCCATAATGCAGGTTTCACAATGATATTACTGCCAAACATGCGAAGTTGTCTTGATGGAAATAAAGAGGAGCATTTTAGAAGAGGGCACATCGTTGATATTATGCAGCAAGAGGTAAAGTAAAACAAAAAGGGAAAACAGGGAAATAGAAAGCAAACAAATTTCAACAAGGAAAAAGGCACACCACTTATAGTAAGATTTATACAACTAGGCAATGAGAAATTAGTAGTGAACGTAGATGCTGACATCAAAATAATTGAAGAACTAAAAAAATAATAAGTTCAAAATTTGTGGAGTTGGGGCCGCGAGCAAGATGAACAATCGCTTCATAGAAGCTAGATCAATTTTTTTAGGGGTGATGACAGATAGCTCACTGGTTGCTGAGTGTATTGCGATTCTTGAAGGTCTGCTCATCGCTGAAGCAGAAAAGAAGCGAATAGCACTGAGGGTTACTAAAAAACTCGAGAAAGTAGTGGTGTAGTCAGACTCATCGGAGGCAGTTGATCTAGTAAACAACAGAACATGACAGCTGCCAGAAGAGCTAGTAGGTATAATTCAAGCTTGTCAAGATGTACTGGATAGTAATCCTGAATTCTCAATGGAGTTTGTTTATAGAGAAGGGAATGTAATTGCTGACATTTTGGCTATAATAGCGCTAAGATTTCGTTTTAGCCAAAAACGGGTGGGCTTTCCACCTGAGTGCATACAACATGCTCTTGAATTAGATGAAGCATCGATTGGATATTAGGTCCTAATAAAAGATTTAAATTCAATCAATTTTACTGATCTGAATTGGATATTGAAAGTCAAAAAACATGAAGGAATACTCGAAAGCAAATAAAAAAGGTTTAAAGCTTGCACCAAGTAGCATAAAATGAAACAACAGCATGACAGTTTACAGGTACATTACAATGTAATGGTAGTTATACATTTCAACTACTGCACAGTGTGTCGAATATGTCAGTTAGCTCTATTCGTAGAGTCCAACATAAGCAGTTTCTTGAACATAGAATGAGCATCCTCAACAAACAAGCTAGCCTCCAACATTTCAATATGACGCTAAATCTGCAGACACAGAAGATAACATCAACGAAAGGTGAGAAAGTAAAGCAACTTAGATTAAGAAATGAAGATTTAAAATAAAAAGGAAACATAATCATAAACTACAAGAAAAGATTTTACTCAACCATGAAATATGGCTATCATTTATACCAATCCAAACATTTTAGAGGAAATTACACAGCAAAGCTGCTTGAGAGCTTTACACGGTTGATTCTCAAATTCAATACTCATAGCTAGATACATAAAGATTAATACACATTCTATCGAAAATACCAATCCAGTAAACAGTAACTTCATTCAAAGTTATTAACGGTATACTGTAAATAACAAGTTAGATAAGGATAGACTCACTTGAAATGGTTATGCGGAAAAAAATGTTATAGCTCTCGTGGGCTGTTTACTTCTTTCTTACTCTTCCAATCGAAGCTTCATCTAATTCAAAAGCATGTTGTATGCACTCAGGTAGAAAGTCCACCCATTTTTGGTTAAAACGAAATCTTACTACTATTGTAGCCAAATTGTCAGTAAGTCATTCCCTTATCTATAAACAAACTCCACTGGGAATTCGGGATTACTATCCAATACATCTCGACAAGCTTGAATTATATCTACTAGCTCTGCCGGCAGCTGTCGCGTTCTGTTGTTTACTAGGTCAACTGCCTCCGATGAGTCTGACCTCACCACTGCTTTCTCGAGTTTTTTAGTAACCCTCAGTGCTATTCGCTTCTTTTTTGCTTCAACCATGACAAAACCTTCAAGAATCGCAATACACTCAACAAACAGTGAGCTATCTGTCATCACCCCAAAAAGATTGATCTGGCTTCTATGAAGCGATTGTTCATCATGCTCACGGCCCCAACTCCAC